CAAACATCAACAACTTTGCGGTTTTCTAAAATGTTATCTTGTTATTTTATTTTAAAGGAAAATACTGTGTTTTATGTGTCTAAAAATCGTTAAGCTGTGCAAAGCTTCAACGGAATGATATCAAAAATATGTACATCAAAAGACTGCAGAGGCTCATGGTTCAGTTTAACGTGAATATATATATTTGGCATCAGAGTTCGAAAATAAAATACATGTGCCAGATGATCGGAATAGGCAAAATCGGATTTTGTTTGCCACTGGCGAAGTGGTAATTGGGAGGACATCCAGCTCAAACAGAGTAAGAGAATTTAATGCGAAGCGTGCGCCGCGCCAGCGGCAAAGCCAGGGCAGCACAGCGTTTTCAAAATTGATGACGTACGCCCGTATGGTCCCGGCCGCTCGTCGCAATTATTTTATCCAATTACCTCGATTCCGCCATGGAAAAATACTCAAAATCCCTCAGAGTAGGCGGATTGGGGCGATGAACAGGTTGCAAACCATCCTTACGTGTAAACTGATGGACTAATCAAGAAAGAAGAGAGCCGTACGACAAGGGTTATGGTTAGTACTGCAACCTTGGGGTTACTTTAAACAGTTATTCTGGATTTAAATTTAGTAGGCAGCTCAGCGCTCACAAATCCTGTAGCAATTAATACAAATTCCTTGCCAATACTGCACGAAACGCAACGGCGGTGACCGCAGTGGTAGACTCTTCGATCTCCTAATCAGTCGCCGTGCGCTGCGCGGGCTCAACATTTTTCTCTTCGCTATGGATGTTGTGATTGTCCGTAGGTGGTAGACGGTCTCTGACTTTCGAACGCAGAGGTACCACACGGCGGATGTCGTAGGCGACACCAGGATGTGTGCATGTTTCATGCACACGAGTTCCCTCGCCAGAGTCCGTGTGGCGTCCCCCCTTTCCCCTGTGTATCTCCCTATAGCCCCACGGTACCCCATGGGTGTTTAGGCCTTAGGCATTCGTGGTAGTTGGACTATAAAAAAAGAAACTCTATCAGTTGTATTATAATCAGAGGTGACATAAGAAAGCACACATCCACATTGCCCCTGAGGAATCATTCGCACAACCTTTTTTATATTCTTTCATGCCGCTGCGTCTTTTAAAGATCCGCGTGCAGGTGATTCCTGTTCAATGATTGTAGTTGTTACTGCCTTTCTCTATCATGGTCCTGACAAATTCTTTTACATCTACATTTTTAGTCAAGCAATATCCTTAGTACTGTTAACCAATACTCCTATGACTGGTTCCAAGCATCTACATGGGGTAAGTAGTAGATGACACATTTCTGGCTTGAGATTTGTGAGCGACTCCAAAGTTGTCGACTCCTATCTTACTCGTTGTCTTAGGGCTCAATCATTGTTCGCTAAATAATAATAAATAATGTTTATTGAGGAAAAAATACAATTTAGGAGCAAAAGAAAAACATATCCCGCAATAAACATACACAACACCAGAAAAAGCAAATGCTTGTGCGTGGGGGAATATATTCATTGAGGTCGTACAATTTCAACTTATTATTATCCTCCTATATTGCCTCCTTATTAGTTTTTTGCAAGATAGCGTACATTATTGTTTGAAATAGAGGTGCACTCATTAAGTAGCAGCATCTGAAGATAGATACTTATTCTAGTGGTGAAAAAGACACATGAAAGATCCTAGCGTTATCTATAACACTAGCAGAACACAAACATAAATTTAAAAATCCACTTTGAAAGGAAAATGTTTGGTTCTGCTAGTGTTTCATAGATGATGCCTTTTGGGCGCCTGTCTAACGCCTATTTTAATTGCCACCTTATCCTGGAATACCTCAACGAATACGAACGATACCATATACAAATGGCATTGGAGGGCTGCCAAAGTGGGATTGAAGATCCTAGCGCCATATATGAGACATTGGCAGAACCAAACACTAATTCCTTTTGAAATAGGTTCATAAATCTCACAATTGAAGCTAGTGTCTTACATATCCCTGTTGCGGTGCCGACATAGCATGTACTGGAGGTCAGAAAATGGCGTCAAGTGACTCTGCACTTCCTACGGTTGGCTACCAGATGGAATACGTTAATCAATAGTATTAGTTGCTATATAATATAAATTCTGGCAAATACACGCTAAATGAGTAGAAAAGTTACATGTTGAAAGTATAGGCTTGCGAAATTTAGAACGTAAATGATTATAGATAAGGATGTGAGTCTTATAAAAGGAACAAGACTTTAGGTAATAGGGCGCTATTGAGTTACGGAAATTTTGTGTGGAGGTGGGTTTCGAAGCAAGGTCCCGTCCCTTTATTGACAAATTTCAAACAAGGTGCGCGTATTTGACAAGGTAAAATAAAAAATAAGTTGACCAAGAATGTCTTACATTTAATACTAATCCGCTGAGGATTTGGATTAACAACATTGAAACAATTAGATAATAATACAAGAAATACTACACAAGTAAGCTGTTTCTGGAATACGGATGCTTTCATAAGATATGCTTCTACGAGCCAATAATAATAGTTCGTATGAGTTAGTATTCTATGGATAAACTCAAAAAATGAAATACCTCCCTAATGACATCAACGAGCGGCTAACAACGTGGCACCTCTGCCTGCCGCGGCCTACTTGCGGCACGGCATTGCATACACGGATACATGAGTATCGCTCAGTTATCTTTCAGCATTCGAATCAGACAGGCGTATGCTGGTTCAGTTAGCTGGCATGTTTATATTGAAAATATATCTCTATCATTCAATCAAGTGTATGAAGAAATATATGTAATAGGTGCATAGAATACCAGAGTTGTAGATTGCTAGCAAAAAAAAATTGATATATACCTTTACCTACCCCCTAAAACTTACATCGTCGAATATTAAAACCCTGCAAAAATGTTTCGGAGACTGATCAGAATATTCTGAAACGTCACAATCAAAGTTTGAGCGATTTTTTTTGTGTGGCCATGTTCTTCGCTGCTACTGGACTTATTTTCAAAAAGTATAGCTTTTTCGTCCTTGGCGTAGTAGTAACCTTATGTGAATTTTATGAAAATCTGAGCGGTACTTCTAAACTACGAACTAAAGATTAGCGGACAGACACACCGACGGTTTTTCGTGATCTACATGTCAAATAACATCAAAAATATCTCATTTTCGAAGATTTTCGCAATTACAATACTTCCTTGCCAGCAGCGTAGAAAGTAAACAGGTAAAAAACCATTTCTCACACCTCGTAACTATTTCAATAGCATATGGATATGCAACGGAGGTGGAAAAGCTTCAACATTTCGTTCACCTTAAAGAGAACTTTTAACGAACGCTTATGGCGATTGTTCTTAGTCCACGGGTTGCAAGGGCGAGTCACAACCCGCATCGGATTTCTTCTTCCTTATTCGCTAATGGGTGCAGTTTAGACGATATTGAATTCGCATATCGATTTCTTTACAACAGACTACGTCCACCATCGAAGGTGCAGCAACGGAGGCATGTACAGAGTGATTTTCCTTAAATTCCGACAGGTAAACTGATAAAAAATCAAACTTCATAATAAACACCTTTCAAGCAGGCTATTACTATATACGTCATTTAAAATTTTCAAGGCAATGATCGTGGGGGCCGAGGATGAAAGGGGATGAAGTAGCTCTTTTAAGAAGTTGTCCCCCTTGACAAATCTTTTGACGTGTCTCAGCGTTTTTTTTTTGATCAGTGGTTTTCGATAAGTCCGTGGCAGGAAGTTTTCAAATTAACACCTTGTGTAAAGTGATACTTCCCTCAAATAGTCTCAACTATATTTCACATCGACGGGTAGCTTCCCCTTTGCTCTCGTTCTTCCTTCTCTCCTTTTTTCCTTAAAATTGTCTGGTTTCTGGGTTACCAGACCTGACAGACTTACAAACTGACACTGTGACTCAAGAGCTAAGGTCCCACGGACCGCTCTGATAACCAATGATGACTTGATGGCTTGATGCTCGACGGGTAGCTATCTAGGTTTTCTATTAATATATCAACAAAGCTGGAGCTGTTTCCGATTATGTTGTTATTCAACAGTTTTTGAATAGTTATTTTCTGTCATACGAGATTTTCAGACTGGCAAATGCTGAGTGAAATCTTAATTTATGACCCATACCTTTATTGTATATGCTGAACGTATTTAATTACATCCAACAGCTGTAATGTGAATTAAACTCAAGTTTCGCAAGTTATAGACCCTAGATGATTAACGTATACCGAAAATTATTAGACGGAGACTTCAGAATTGTTTTAACAGACAAATTGGTACGATTTGACGTAGGCAGCGTAATTCGAGTCGAGGTAAAATATCCAGATGAGGGGTAGAAAGTTTAAGGGAGGGGCATTTTATAGTCTAGTAAGTAGAAAATCCGAAGGTAGTAGAATCCTAGACCAGACGTGGGTAAGCTTTGATTTAACTAATGAATGAAATTTAACCTTTCTCGAACCACTTTTTCGACATTTTAGTCTCAAACTAATACATCTGCCAGCCACACAGCCAGACAGGACATTAACATTTTTTTAAATGACAATGTGGGGAGACACCAGTCTGACAAAAACTTATCAAATTGCTCTTTCATTTGATTTGGATTTCTAAGAATTTCTATACATTTCGGTTTGATGAAAATTAAAATAATCCAAGAAAACGACAAATTTCTTATAAAGGCCAACGTTATTAGGGATTATCTCGGGAACAACACAGTGGAGTTTATCCAAACTTTTTAAAAACACGTTGCGTTGCAGTGTCTTCAACATATGAAAGTGTCCTCGGGACCTCGGTTGGCCGCGTAGGTCAGAGTGTCGTGCTACTGATCAGCCGGCCGGCCGGGCCGCGAGTTCGAATCTCGCCTTCGCCATGGATGTTGTGTGTTTGTTTTAGGCAGCAGCGGTGGCCGCATAGTAGACCCTTCGGTCTCCTGATCAGCCGCCGTGCGCTGTGCGGGTTCGAGTCCCGTCCCAGGAGAAATGTTTCTCTTGGCCATGGATGTTGTGATTGTCCGTAGGTGGTAGATGGTCTCTGACTGTCGAACGCGGAGGTACCACCCGGCGGTTCTCGTAGGCGGAGCCAGAATGTGTGCATGTTGCATGCACACGTGTTCCCTCGCCAGAGTCCGTGTGGCGTCCCCCCTTTCCCATGTATCCCCCATAGCCCCACGGTACCCAATGGGTGCTTAGGCCTTCGTGGTAGTTGGAGTATAAAAAAAAAAGTGTCGTGCGTTTCCATGTTATGTGGTCATACGCAAGTCCTATTTTAAATACATTAACTTGTTTTCTGGACTATAGGTTGATAAATACAGATTACTAATTTGATTTAGATGTGATGCATAGTTTCGGCGTGCTGCTTACTACAGCACCTACGTGCAAGTCGAGCTAAATTATGGTCTAGCCATCTAGCTTTCATCTACCGATACACCAATGGGCTTTGCTCCTCAGAGCTCTCCTCCATGATGCCGTCGCGACAGATCCACCTGACTTGCGCCTCCTATCCTAACCGTGTCGAACTTCGTTCATCAAGAACTGGCCGATACGACCGTTCCTTTGTCCCTAAGGCGTCGAGACTGCGGAACTATCTACAAGATGATGCTGTTTCCTTAGACAGTTCAAAAATCGGACTAACAAAGTTTCTCTGGCATCCTCATCCGCGGTGCCCTGATATTTGGGCTTATTCATACGCAGCGGCTTCGGTGTAAAAAAAAATTGAAAAACACTGCCCACAATAATTAATATCCTACATTGTACGCGTATACAAATACTTATGTCGAGAATATATGTTATTACCTTTCCAATCCCCGTATCAAGAAAATGACGAACTAATGCAGATGGAATATGGAAACGGTTTAAATATCAGAAGACATCTTCAAACTTTGTTTTTATATATGCTCCGAGCACTTGAGCATTTTTGGGAGCTATCAAAGAACTTGTTGAATCAGTCTGGAACTCCCAGTGATACTTGAACAACTTCTATGTATCGGTAATTTGAAACCATAAATACCACTTCTCATATTCACAACTATTTTTGTCGTTGGAAGCCACAATTTGGATAGCTGTTCTGTAGTATTAAATCAGAAAAATAAAACAAAGAAAATCAGCGATATTTTCACCACAGGTATTTTCTTTGTAGTGCGTGGGCGGTGCGATTGATGGTTAAGCTTACATAGTATTCCAGAAAGAGACCTAAAAAGTATGTTAGGTTGCGTTAAAAGAGGTCGTCTATAGATTAAGCAATTAAAGGAATTTGAAAGAGCAGGCTACCTTACCTCAAATAATAGTTTTCACGAGTGCTCGTAATACAATACAATAGCTTCAATAAAAGGTGATTCAATTCAAAATTCATGATCCATAAAACTTGTATGTATCCCCAACCTACAAAGTCATTGCCAATGTATGAGTATACTAAATGAGTGTATTAGTTCAGGTTTTTTACTTAGCTTGCTGGACTATTGCTGAACCGTGAATTTTAAATGAAGCTTCGCCGCCTGGGAGAGAAATTAAGTTTATGGTGATCCCAACGCGACGGACGTATCTATGTGGAGAGAATCAATTTGGTGACCGGAAGTAATAGGGGTTAATATAAACCCCTCCCACTCATCCCGCTGACCTATTTCCAAATATGTTGCTAAATTCCATGTGCTGCTAATGATCTAATTAGTTTAGGGACGAGGCTCAGTACGGCAGGGTAATCGGTGAAATCTCATCTTGTGTACTAGTATGCCGCTACTACAACTGAATATAAAGAGCTAGTTCAAAGGTGAAATTTCATAGCTAAACCTACATAATGCCATCAAAATGCAATTTAGGCAACAGCGATGGCATAGTGGTAGACGTTATGGGTCTCATAATCAGTCGCAGCGCGCTACGCGGGTTCGAGTCCCGTCCCAAGAGATTTTTTCTCTTGGCGAAGGATCTTGTGATTGTCCGTAGGTGGTAGACGGTCTTAGATTATCGAACGCGAAGGCACCACCCGGCGGATCTCTAAGGTGGGGCCTGAATGTGTGCATGTTGCATGCACACGTGTTCCCGCGCTAGAATCCGTGTGGCGTCCCCCCTTTCACCTTATCCCTCTTTCGCCCCACTGTAGGTACCTATAGGTGCTTTGGCATAAGGCCTTCGCGTTGGTTTGAATATAAAAAAAAATCGATATGTCACTTTTTAAGTTACGTAATATGGCTCAGGAGCTGCCTTAACGGAGCTTACCATATCCATACTGTAACAAAAGTTTGGAACGCATCAAGTATCTGACAAATGATTCATCTATTCTTTTTTGAAAATTGGTAGGTTCCGGTTCGAAACCGTGGCGGATCAGCTAATAAGATCCGCGATCTACAATTTTTCAGAAACTGATAGCAACTTCTGTTTTTCTTATGGAATGCTATACATTTTATTTGATATTTGTATCCTGCGAGCAATTCTGAAAACTCCTTAGAAAACATACTTTGACGTAGACTTAATAGTTTTCGAAATAACAATAAAAGGTATTTCTTTCACATAAGCAATGACCTGTATGTAAAATAGTTTTCATTTCTGGAAAGAAATTTTAATATTCATAAAATTTATTGTGTAAATATTGTTTGATCTCGAATATTTCGAAAACTACGAGGTCTACGTCAAAGTATGTATAATAAGTAGTATTCAGAATTTGATACACATATCAAATAAAATGTATCTGATATTTGTAAATGTATATCTAGATAATAAAAACAAAACTTGCTATAAGTTTCTGCTGCGTTACAAACTTTTGTTACAGTCTGTATAGTTCTATTTACGGTTTTTGGCGGTTACACCATCAATGTTGAAATCTGCAGGTTCTGCAAAGCAGAACGTTGCGCACTATTGCTGATGCCCCATGGTATGTCTCTAACGAAACTCTACATAGAGACCTCGATGTCCCTTACCTAAAGGACTAAATTAGGCAACAGGTGCAGCGGCGCCTAGCGAAATCGCACAGCAACATTCTGTTGCGTGAGTCAGTGGACTACCCAGTCGAGCATCATCAAATTAATTCGTGAACTTAGAACAACCAAAACTGGAGCATTTTGACAAAATCCTTAGAAAAAATCGAATATTTTTAGACCATATCAAAATCTGTGAAGTGATTTTAACAATGCCTAAACGCTGCCTATCCTAAAAGATTCTCTTCTTCCCCTTTGCTCTCGTTCTTCCTTCTATCCTTTCCTTCCATTTTTTCATTAAAATTGTCTGGTTTCTGGGTTACCAGACCTAACAGACTTACAAACTGACACTGAGACTCAAGAGCTAAGGTCCCAGGGACCGCTCTGATAACCAACGATTACTTGAATTGACCATCAATGTCATACGAAATAAGTAGGCAAATCGACTAACTCAACCAACTGCAGAGGTAAATCTCCATAGAACACTGGGCAATCCGCATCCGTATTACGTAACTTAAAAAGTGACATTATATAACTCATGACACTTGAGCCAATATGGTTTGGCTCTGACATGCTAGCGCTAGCGGGTGCCATTATTGCATCTATGACTTAAGCTGTAAATTCAGATCGTTGAGCCATTCCCTCATAGGTGGCGTACACATTGAGTGAGCGTGGCAAACAATACATTTGAATTTCCAGGTACTGTTATGTTTTATATTACGAAAGTAAAAAATGAATTGTCAATCAAGTTGGACCCAATTGCGGATCCAAGCATATATGGAATGGTATCTTTACGAAGAATAATTTTTGCCACATTCAGAAATTGTCTTCATAAAATATTTTTTACCTTTCCTACTAATGCCCCCAAAAATATCAAGACACTTAAGTGCACTCAAAGAGTTGTTATGTTGTTGCTTTCTGCTGAAACTGTTGCTGCAGTTGTCCAGAATATTCATCAGCATCCTCTTCGGGTAATTTTGCAAAAGAAACTGCATATAAAGGAGTACAAAATTCAATGGGCTACTTGACTCATATAGAATAAATGAGTATTTCTTACAGTATTTACCTTAGGAAAATAGGATATATCGATTTCAATTTTTTAAAGAGCAAGGATATATAAGCCCAATTTAAAAAAATGTTTAATACGTAACGATAAAGACACTGTCGGCCATGATGTGACGTCATCCAAATTGTATACAAAGAAGTGTCATCCGTATGTCACTCGTGAACTAACGTTATCTTCTTTAAATATCTCTAAAAAACTCCTGATCAAAGCAAAGAGTTGTCTGCATCTTTATCAAAAAAACCATCATGGACGTTGGATTCCTAAAAGCAGAAAGCACAAATTTGCCGAAAATTTACACATTGATAGTTGGTAATTTTTTTGCTTTCAACACAGATTTCCGCTTTCCTAAGCTGAGGAGCATCAAGAGGGCTGTATTTCTTCTTAAACATCTGCAAAGGAATCATTCGGTGATGATGCCATAGGTTACGTCCAACTCGCACGAGACGATAAAATCTGTGCAATAAAATATAAAATATGTCCTGAACAGAAGGTGTGCTCCAAGCAATACACAGTGTTGCGTATATTTATTTCCCTGGGCACTCAAATCTACAGCTTGCCTGGGGTCTTTGTCGATGTGTTTTTACATTCTCGGATTACTCAAAGATAATTGCTATACTTTTTATGTAAACCATTAGAAGTCATGTTTATATGTTTCAAAGTTTGAGAGGTTATGCTGCTGTCAGCTGTTGTTTACAAATGATGTGACGTCACAGCACATTAATATGGGCCAAACATGGCGCACAGCGTTTTCGCGTGTCCAAGAAAAATATTTTTTTAAATTAAAGTTTTACGGTCTTTTAGGTCTATAGCATAGTCCTTTCTTGTGGCCCGCTTCACGGGTCATGTATACATCACATGTATAAATTACTCTCAAATACCGAATATGCACAATTCTTACATTAACTCTGTAATAATGTATAGAAAGATTTTATAATGCGGCCCTCCAAACTGCATTTTTTTTTTGAAGTGGCCCTTGGGCCAAATTAAGTTGGATAGTCCTGGTCTATAGTATTGATTTTTTTGGTCTAATAGAACAAATATTGGTCATTTGAGACCTACTTAAAAAATCAGCAACCAGCCCATTGGTCGGAATACTGGAGCCCAGTAGCCATCACATGCGTTTTCGTTTCGTCCAAGAAAGTCGCTACCGAAAAATTAGCTCACTCACTATGTTCGAACATCTGTGTATGAGATCAAAAAAAACTAATTTCATAAATTTTTCCATTCTACTGTGACAACAATATATTACGGAAATAACCAGGTTTAACTTTCCAGATCGAGGCGGATGAAAATAAAATGTCGCGGGAATTTGTGAGCAGGAACAGAAATAAACTATTTTATAATAAAATATAGACTTGAATAATTTTAATATTAGATACAGTTTTTTCTACATGATATATAACCTCGCTTCTAGGTCGTCGATCGTGTGACGAGTCAAAAATAGGACAGAAAAATCTCGTGAAGATGTAGTGGTGTTAACAAACAACTTTAGATTCTAAGTACAGAAAAAATAGAGAAATTCAGGATTATATGTAGTATTTTTTCTTTATCTTCAAAGATACTTTAAGTTCCAAGCTATAAAACACAAACACAATGCTCGATTTTAATCAATTTCATTCTAGCGGACAGAGAAAACAACTCTGCTGGATGTTGCGCCTACGATTCTAATAGTTCCTCCAGAAGCATTTTTTGATTGATTTGATTCACGTATTTCCGATCGATATGCTACTGAGCACTAACAACTATATTCTACTAAATTGAATCGGTGAGTACAGTAAGTAGCACAATTTGAATTTTCCAGAAGTCAATAGAAACTATGATCACCTTTAAAGGACTTTTTTGGGCTTAATCAAGTATTTGTTTACGAAAAGATTCGAATAACCTTCACAGACTGTTAATAATAGGAATGAAGAAAGCTCGAAAAACTGTTATTGGTGGTATATAACGTTATTTATCATGTTGTTCATTATTTACAATTGAAAATTACACATTAATATTGATTTACTAATGTGCCATACGTTTTAATTTTGCGGTTTTTTTTTACATTTCTAAGGAAGAAGGAAAACCCAGGCAAAGCGAACACCTGAAAAACTCGAAACTCACGTTTTGCATCTAAACCATGAATAAATACCATACAATACAGTACAAACTTATTCGTGCAACTTTCTTAGATGATCAGCAATCGGTTATAGAAGAACTCGTGTGCTTATATGACTACGAGGCATATTTTCAAGAAAGTAATTGACATTGCAGGAGAGGTGCTTATACTATCTTTACGAGCAGCTATTTCAAATATTTAATGTATATTTAGAAGACCTACGCAGTCATACAAATGAGACGGATTAAGTTAGTGGTCTTGATAGAAAACGAGAAAACAACAACTTACTTCGGGCAAAGTGGATAGGGCCTGTAATCTTGTTTCTGTAGTAAGCGAACTCAAAATTGATATTTTTTGCTGCACATGAATATGAAAATAAAACGATGCATTGATACTGATACTGTTTCTGAAATGACCATTACCTGCCGTCGAGTTTACCCAGAATACGTAACCAAATTCGATGATCGCTTCCAGTAAGAAAAGCATGTTGGTAAAAAATAGACTAAAGTGTTTTTTATACTGATCGATTCAAAATTATAGGATAGATTGTTCATAAAACACTAAACAAACTTGATCTGCAACAGTCTGGAAAGCACAGCTTCAAATGTGGTATATCGGAGGGTCACGCCCTTCTGACCCTCTTGGTGTACAACAGAGGCTATAGGTATCATAATAGTAGTTCAAACTTACCTTTTTGCCGTCCAGTTCGTGTGTTCCCTGTGCGAGAACTTTGTCCACGCTGGCTGGGTCGGTGAATGTGATGAAGCCGAAGCCCCTACGAGCAAAAGAGAAACAGCGCGTTATAAGGAAGCAGCACTTTAAGTCGTAGAACAGACAGAATCACTACTTGGGTTACTAGTTCTCTAAACAATTTCTGCTGATGTTTGGGCCGCACTTGTAGAAAAAAAGTATCTGGGTCATCAATCCATCGAAAAAAGAGAGAGAAAGAGAGTAACTGATAGTGTATGAGATTTCTTTGTTTTTCTGATATTTCCGTCAACTGTACCTGAATGAAGATATTCCCATATTTTCTTTGACATTTCGGATTTGATCATTCTACTTTTAACAATCAGGCAAGCAGTGTGGACTGTGC